CGTCCGCGGGTCCCCCGCCTCTATGCGGTTGTACGCCTGCCGACGATGGTATTGGGGTTGGGGAGCCTTTTTCCCAAGGGGGTTTTAGTTTGACGTGAGACATCACTTGCGATTCCTTCTGGTAGTAGTCGGGCGTTCGCGAGGGACGTGTTGCGGTGCGAGAGCTCTGCAGCGGAGGCTAACACACCCCACAAACCTGGTGAAGCTGCCCAGCCAAATGTCAGCCGTAGATCCGCTACTAGCACGTCTCCTATCACGTAGCAAAAGTTGTGAGCATGATCTGGTGAAATCCTAACATTTCTGAACGCTGAGGTGACATCAGCCTTGGCTGCGAGAATTCTCTTGTCAGGCCATGTTACTCGTAGGCTAGTGAGCTCCTCGAGGAAAGCTGGTAGCGCTTCGCCGCACAGGCAACGTGGTACTCCAGACATGATGGTATCTTTGTTGAGCCCACCTTTTGACCCCTTGCTTGTGCTTGGGTCAAAAGAGAAGTCGTTGATGATCCTCACTTTTTTTCCTGGGACCGCTCCCAACGGAGCTACTCTAGTCCCACGTACGTCCGATGCGTTCGCCTTTCTCAGGACGATACACCTATTACGCTTGACATCGTCGCATAGTTTTTCCCACACTTGTGTTTGGTGATCGTCTACGCTACGGTGGTTGCCGTATGCCAAGGCTTTCTTGAGATTTTGCTGCGATACTAGAGTGGGGGCAGGGGCTCCTTCACCGACTATCTCAATGAGGTCATCCATGCCCGGGAAACCCTTCTCCTCTCCGAAATACTGCTTGACGTCGCTCACGTCCAACGGCGGTGACACCAAAGTGCCGCCGATTCCCTCGCGACGTCTCCCAGCCTTCCATCGTGGAGCTTTACCAAATCACTACCAATATCCGCCATCTTCCGAATGATACATTGTTTCTCGTCTAGCGATTGTAGGCTTGACGCGAGCATGCTTCTCTGTGCCTCGAGTCTATCGGTCAGAGTTTTTAAGTTTCTCGAAAAGGTTGTCTTTTTTGGACTCTCTAGGGCCGAAGGTTCTTTCCCCGCCCCAAAGTGAGAAATCGCTCAATTCGACCCGCAACCCTGTCGCATTACTTTTGTGATGTCAGCGGCCCTAGCAGTGTCCGCCGCTAGTGCCCTACGTGCCAACGATGCATCCCCCGGGGTGTCCGCCCCCGGGGTAGCTTTTGAAACGGTCATGGTGTCCGCCAATTCCGTGTCGTTCCCGCGAATGGTGTCCGCCAATCGGGGCTGTGTGACTGACAAATTCTTACACAGGGTGTCTGCCCCGTGTATGTCCTTCTGCACACTACTGGTGTCCGCCAGTACTTTCTGTTGACCGACAACGCTCGCGGCGTCCACCGCTTGCGTGCCGCGGGGCCAATAATGGTCGCCCGGGGTGTCCTCCCCCGAGGCGACTGCATTGCATTGTTCAGCACGTGTGGTGTCCGCCACAGTCTTTGTGGTGTACAAGGCAGAGCAGTTATTGAACCCGCTATTGGTGTCCGCCAATAGGTTTTCCGTTAGTGTGTTTTCCGCGGGAACGGCGTCCACCGTTTGCGGGAGTGAGGGTAATGCATGTTCACATTGCACACTACTGGTGTCCGCCAGTATTGTTTGTTTACCGACAACGCTCGCGGCGTCCACCGCTTGCGTGCCGCGGGGCCAATTATATTCGCCCGGGGTGTCCTCCCCCGAGGCGACTGCATTGCATTGTACAGCACGTGTGGCGTCCACCACAGTCTTCGTGGAGTGCAAGGCAGAGCAGTTATTGATCCCGCTATTGGTGTCCGCCAATAGGTTTTCCGTTAGTGTGTTTTTCGCGGGAACGGCGTCCACCGTTTGCGGGAGTGATGGGTTTCCCGATAGTGCGTTTATCGCGGGAACGGCGTCCACCGTATGCGGGAGTGAGGGTAATGCATGTTCACACCGGGTGTCCGCCCGGTATGTGTCAATATCGTATAATTGGTGTCCGCCAATAGTTGTGACTTATCTATCACCAGTGCGGTGTCCTCCGCTTGTGTGTTATATGACCCGTACTTAGCGCCGGGGGTGTCCGCCCCCGTAGCTACTGTTTTTGACGTTTTGGCGTGAGTGGTGTCCGCCACTATACAGGGTGAAAACGAATCCAAACAGTTGACAGTATGGGAAATTACAGGTTCGCAACTCATGCTCTCACCGTAAAACACAGCGGGTGCCACCGACCCGGGAAGGGGAACTCCCACGCTCGCTACTGTCCTTCTGCTGTCCGCAAAGGCATTCGCTCCCGTGCCAAGCTCGCCACCCCCCCTTGTCGGCCCCACCTCGTGGAAGTGGGGCCCGCACCGTCACGGATTGGTACCGCCACGGCCTCCTCCCGCGCGCCCTCCACCTCCTCCTCCTCCAGCTGCTCCTCCTCCCCGGCCGCCTCCATGACTGTACCTCGCGACTGGTGCTTGTGTCGCTCTCGGGGCAGGGGGGGCACGAGCGGGCGGAGCGGGCGGAGGGGGGGGGGGGGGAGGAACAGCAGGCAGGAGTGACGGGTGCCGCTGGGTGTGCCCCTTCTCGCACCGCGGGCGTGTGCAGGACGTGCCCGACCACGTGTAGAAGCACTCGTTGTCGGGCGTGTTCCAGGCGGCAACGGTCTGTGCAAACGCGTTGGCGGCTGCCGTGGAAGAGTATGGGACTGGTGCGGCGGGGGTGCGGGCAGGTTGACCCTGTGAAGTAGCTTTGCGCTTGGTGCTAGCGGCGGCCGATTTTGGCTGCTGCTGACGGGCTAGACCCCCCTGCAGGAGACCCACCATCGAAGAAGCCGTACCCTCCGCAATCAGGATCAACGTCCGTGAGAACTGCGGGACTTGGATCGCCCCCACCGTATTGGGGGGTGGAGGGGAGAGGGTGTTGCGCTGCCGGAGCGCCCTAGCTTCGGTGGTCAGACGACTGACGCAATCGGCCCAATCGAGGTTGGCGTCTTGCTTGAACCTGGCGAAGACGTCGGCCTCGCAGCCCCTGAACTCAGCGCAGTGGCGGGAAGTGTAGTGGCGGAGGTCCTCGGAGATCCTGAAAAGTTCCCGGAAAAACAGGCCAACCCTGTCGGCCCCGGCCGGCGAGGCGCCCGCCATGCCGTCCTTGATGACGACTTCCAGGACGCGAACGAAGGTGTCGAGATGCACGTCGAACGTGCGTGTCACCGCCGCTACCCCCGGGGGGCGCGGCGGCGAGAACGCCGCAATGTCGATGGCGCCGAAGGTAAGCAGCGCGTGCAGGCCCGGTTGCGGGTGGGCCACGTCACGAATGATGTGGTCGAATTCGCCTCCCGTCATGACGACGGGCGAGAAGGTAGCACCTCGCATTAGGTACAGGGCCGCTTGGCCATCTTTTTCCCACGTGCGGCCCTCCAGCTTTTGGGCTTCTTTCAGCCGATGGGCATTGTAAACAGGCGCGGCCCCCGGGATGCTCGCGAGCTGTTGGTATCCCTGGGGCGCGGCCGACGAGGACTGGAGGTAGTGCTGGTGGGGGTAGGCCTGGAGTTGTTGGTGTTGATACTGTTGTTGCAATGGTAGCGGCTGCGACTGCTGCCGGTGCTGCTGCTGCTGCTGGTGGTGAGGTTGTTGCTGCTGGTGCTGCTGCTGGTGCTGCTGCTGCTGGTGAGGATGTTGCTGCTGCTGCTGCTGCTGCGGCGGCGGCGGCGGCGGCGCTTGGACCAGGGGGAGGACTACTGACTGACTATTGTTGTAGGCGGGGCCATCCCGGGCATTGTTGTGGGCCGCGGCGCCCTGGGCGGGCTGCCGGATGCCGGTCAAATTTACGACCACATCCTGGAGAGACCGAATCTGTTGTTGCTGGCGACTACCCTGGGTCACGAGCTGTTGTAGCAGCGAGAAGAGGTTCGGATTACTCCCACTGCCCTCCTGCTGCTGTTGCTGGGGCTGTTGCTGCGGCTGCTGCTGTTGCTGCTGCTGTTGCATCAGCTGAGGTTGGGGGGCTCCGTGAATCATGGGCGGCGGCGGCGGAATTGCTGCCGCCGGACCGCCGTCGTTTTGTTGCTGCGGGTGGCCGTGCTGGAGATCCTGCTGCTGCTGCTGCTGCTGCGGCACCTGACCTGCTGCTGCTGCTGCTGATTCTGCTGCTGCCTGTTGTTGTTGCTGTTGCTGCTGCTGCCTGTTTTGGGCGTCCCCGCCACCGGCGGCCGAGCTTGGGTGACTGCCGTCCGCCGGACTGCCTTGACTGGCCGCCGCGACGCCCGCGGCGCCGTTCGCCCTCGCCGGTTGCCCATCATTGCCGTCCATCCCGAAATCGATCAAATCCTAGGCGGCACCCCGTGCTTGCTGCTCCTCAAAGCTGCTATATCTGCTACTCCTCTCCTTCTCTCAAACGCACTTGCTTGTCTCTCGCCCAGCGAGAGCACAAAAACTTTCTGACACCGAGGCTGTCTCTATTTTTCTTCGATCCCCGCTTTTCCGAATTCCAACACGCCTCCACAAACCACAGATTCACATACGTACTGAATCTTCACGATTTCCCGTCAGGACAGGGTACATTTCCGAAAACAGGGTACAGTTGTTGAGAAAAGTAGTCACGGCAGGGTATACCCTGCGCCTTTTCGGACGCACCGGGGGTGAAATTGGGCACTGACCGATGGTATGAGTGCATTTACTGCTGTTAATGAAAAAAAAAAAAACTGCTTCAAGTCTTCAAGTGTTGATTGATTGCCATTCAGCAGCAACTACAACGTGCCTATCTCTAGAGTATGGATTGCGGTAAGAATGCGCATGGCGTACTGGCACAGATAATGTCCGTCTCGCCCTCTCTTGTTTGGTTTAACAGGCGCAACCTGTCTCCTATAACAGAGTAGTGCAGTGCATGTACAGCAGTGTACAGCAGTGTACCCGCAATGCGCAGCAGTTGCGCACGAAAACGCAACCGCATGGGCTATTCAATGGTTCAAAGAAAGCGGCAGCGGCAGCAGTACTAAGGAATAATAAAGTATGTATCCGTCGCCTCAGCGTGTGATTCGCACCTTGATCGGAAAGTCGCAATAGAAGCAGCGCCGTCGGCAGAATGGAAGGTTCACGTAAACGGAGGACGGTGGCAGCGACGGTAGGGCTAGGGCTTGCGTATCCATTGTCGTGGCGGACATGGCTACCCGTGCCGTAGATGCTGCCGATGCTGCCGGTGCCGCTATTGGCACGAGGAAAGACCAGCCCCAACAAACGCTCCTCTCAAACGACCACACGGCCATAAACAAGAGCCACGTCCGAGGCATGACAATCGCCTAGCTCGTGCACGCGAAGACAGACGCAGTACCTCGCAGCCCAGCACACAGCATTGGTTTGAATCCACCTAAAGCAGCAACTGCAGCGTGCAGCGCAGAGCGCAGGTTTCATGTCTGGGGGGATGATGCTAGAACTGAACTGCCGGAGCCCCCGTGAAAAAGTTGAGTGTGTGATTGCTGTTTGTGGTGCGTCTGGCGTGTCTCTGCCCTGGCCAGTCGCGTCGTTGATTGGTTTGGACGTGCTAGAGGGAAACATGGTTCTGTTGAGGAAGGCGAAGCCATTGCTGGTGGCCCTTCCTCTTGCTCTCGGCGGGGTCCGGCTCGCGGGTGGTGTGGAACGTGAGTGATGGTGGTGTACAAAAGTAAGCTCTGAAGTTTTTTGTCTCTTTGGGGGAAGGCAGCTTTCCTTCTTTTGTGAGTACATTTCGTCACATGTGTGTGTGCATGTGTGTGCATCGTGTCCTTTGCAAACAGAGGCAGCAGTGTTCGCTTTTCCCTCTCGTGTGCGTATATTTTGCCAGTTGTGTGAGCGCCCTACGTGGGCAAACATTCCAGGACCCCGGGGCTCTCGTGAGCTCTCGTGAGCAATTCGCTGCGTGATCGCATCAGTTTAGCTTCTGCTGTCGGACCGACCCGACACAGCGGTCAATAAAAATCGCAGACACACGCAGCAGCAGGGGCAGAGCCGAGAGGCGGACCTTCTTCTTCTACTTCAAAAAAACTCCCGGTTTGTAGGAAGCAGGAAGGTGTGAAACTTCTTGCCGACCTCGTGGCGAGCCAACATCCCGCCGACTGCTGCTGTTGTCGCCCTGTTGTCGCCCGGTCTATCTACGCGGGCGTCGTTGCACACCGAAGCCCTCACACGGGCGGCGGTCCGCCCAACATTTCCGATGTAGACTACTGCAACAGCAGTATGTAGTAGATACGGCGGTAGATTTGAGATTTTCCACATTCCACTCGCTACATTTTGTAGTAGCCGGTACACGCCGCGCCCTCGGCGGGTACACGCGTTTCCCTTCACCGGTTGATCCTGCAACCCCGGAGATTGGAAGTAAAGAACGAAGAGGGGCTGCTGCTGCTGCTGCTGCTGCTGCTGCTGCTGCTGCAGCAGCTGCTGCTGCTGCAGCAGCTGCTGCTGCAGCTGCTGCTGCGCGCAATGTGTCTCGGCCGTTCGTTATTCGCTTCCAAGTTTAGTTTGGGACCAGCGACCAGCGAGACTTTCGTTCTGCTTCGATCAGCCAGAGACTTCTCTCCTATGTGTTATATGTAGGAAAGTACAGCAATAGATGCGATGGTTACCACTCCACGCCACTCGCCGCCATCGCCAACACATACCAAAGCGCCTTCAGCAACCCCGATCGGGACCGCGTTATAAACGCCGCGCGCGCACTGATCGACTGATCGGCTGCTTGCCTACGGACACGGGGGACGACACTTACTTCTCCAACGCCATGCCGTACGTGGACTCCAACAACCACAATGCTATCTCCACATACTCAAACACACAAGACTACCCATTCGAGATACATGATAGCATATATTTCCCCATTCCTATGTGACCCCTGTTGGGTCGTCTAGGGAGTAGAAGTGGAGGATGGGGGCCAAAGGGGCAGACGACAGAGTCCAATGATGGGAGAAAAAAAAAAAGAAATCCACAGCGGTCGAACAGGATGTGTTGGAGTCATTGCAGTGAGAGTGGAGGAAAACCGGCTGACAAGAACAATCACAAAAAATTTATCCCCGAAAAGCACGCACACACCAAATGGAAGTGATGTCGTCGTGGTGCAGCCTCATCGCTGGCAACCGTGCGCGGACGGGGTGGGCATTTTTTCGAAACCAGCCTAGCCTCTCGAGAAGGGTTTTTGTCGTTTCTGCCCTTGGGTGGAGTTTCGCGGGCGGTGTTTGGCGGCGTTTTTTTATGAAAGGGCAAAGCGCTTATGTTCCGTCGTTGTTTGGCTGGCGACACATCATTTGAACATGGGCACCTGAGATGCACGCACGCGCCGACTCGGAAACACACAAAAAGCACACAAACAGCAGTGCTGTTAGGGTGGGATTTTATTTTTATTTTTTCCAGGGATTGACTTGACTTGACTGACTTCTGTGTCCGTCCGGCGCCCGGGACAGGTGTCAACAACAACGCCTGCATAGCCATGGTACTCCACAAACCCATCAAATTTCAGAATCCGCAGCCAGCAGAGGGTGTATCACAAGCACGCTGACGCTACAGTAGATACCCGAGGCAGGTCAGCAGCGTGGAGGCTGGCTGTAACAACATCGCGAGGCACTGTGTGGAGTGGAGACTCCGAGGCGCATTATGAGGAAACTCAAGTGTCAGGGGGAAGAGGAGGCCGTGTTGATAGACGGAGATGCAGCTCCTTACAACGATAATAATGCAGCAAGACAGTAAGACTTGGGCAATGACGTCCGCCGCAAGCGCCAACAGAAGGAGGACTTGGCGATTCTTCCTGCGTTGGGCGTTTGCGATGGTGACATCACCAATTCTTGCTGCTTCGCCGCTGGAAGGAGCTGCATCTCCGTCTATCAGCATGGCCTCCTGTTCCCCCTGACCATAAAATCTCCTCATCACGAGTCTCGGAGGCCATCACGAATCAGAAAGGAAGAGCCACAACATGCAGTCAAACCAAACAGCATCGAGCGGGGACAGACCTCGGTGCTCTTCTTGCTCTAAGCCACATCTACAGCAGCTTTGCTGTGGTCGTCGAGATGTTCAACAGCAATTTCGCGAGAGAAAGCCTGGGATTTCATTTTAGTGCGGAGGTGTGTCTTGAAATTTTACCGGCACTTTACCGGGCACCGGGACTATTCAGAATAGTGCCTCAATAGTGCCGGTTCCGGCGCTTCGATGTTGCCAGAAAACAATAAAAAGAAACCAAGAAAAGCACGACAGAAAGCGCACCGAACGAAAACAAACATGTACCGCCCACCCTCACTGCGTCGCGACAAACCCTCTCATGTCTGCCTCGCGCACCTGCTTCGATGTTGCAAGAAAAAAAAACACAAGAAAAACACACAGGAAGCGCACCGCAAGAAAAAAACACAACCATGCACCCCCCGCCCTCACAACGTCTCGAAAAACTCTCTCATGAGGGGCTTGCGGCGTTCTGTCTTGTTGAAGGCACAGTTCACCTTCCGCACAAGGCATGGTGCGCCTCTGCGCAGAGTTGTTCGGGTCTGCAGCAACACGTGAACCCTGTTTTCTGTGTGGCGTCTGTTCTCCGGCTGTGTTTTGTGTGTTTTTTTATATTATTTATTTGTGTGTGTGTAAACCGACACTATTGCGGTGCGCTGTGGTGCCCAACCGGCACTATTGAGGGCGCTGTCTGTGTCCAGAGATTTTGCCGGCACTATACCAGGCACTGGCACTATTCACGGCACTATAGAGGGTCCAGTACTGTAATTCTGGAAATATCAAAGAAAGACTACCCGTTCGAGATAACGCCACCGTCGAAGGGGATTTTTTGTTGTTTTTTACAAGCGGTTGCTGCCGCCAAAGAGAGCGTGGACGAGGCTGATTTTTTGTCACACTGTGTCCCAATACATCTGGGAGGCGTTTTCGCAACGCAAGGGACGTACGTCCTGCGTCCCCGCCTTTCAGCTCAAAACTACTGAACGCTGCTGTTGTACAACATTTCATGCGCACGATATTTGTGTTTTGTACGTGCAGCACTATGTGATGGCGTAGGGTTCCACTAACAATAGGCCTCTCTCTGCTGCAGCATGATATCACTCCCACACTCTCAGCATCCCTTTGTAATTGTTCCGAATTCCTCTAGACATACAGTCCTTGTTGGACTAGGCCTTTCCTGGCCATACCCAAACAAGCCACCTTGAACGAGTAGGGAGCCGGGCTGTTCTCTCGTGGAAGTGAATATACACCGCGCCAAATACGGCCGTTTCAATCGAAGGACGGAATGAACACCCTTCGGATCCAGTGCCATGATCTTACGTCCTGTCGGACGCATCACGTTGCCGCCAAAAACGAAGGCACGAAGAGAAGAAGCTGTCCAGAACCGGCCCTGAGCAAAAAAACACGGCAGCGGTGTCTGTGGAAGCGAGCAAGAGCCGGAGGCATTATGTTTGGCCGTTAGTGCGAAACCTAGACCGATGTTGCGTGGCGCCCGACGCGCAGCGCAGCGTACGACGGGGTCACGGGCAATAGCGACAGCAGGGTGTCAGCGATAAGAAAGGGTTCATAAAGGAGAAGCATGTGTCAGTCCTAAGTGTGGAAGCTAACTATTAACTAAATCGATCGCTCGACGTGATGCAGACAGTGCCTCTAACCGGGAGAGAAGGCGCAAATTCCGCTACTACCTGCTGTGTTGAGTTGGATGTACCCAGAGGGGCACCAGCAGCAGCAGCAGCAACGTATGCATACCGTGGACGGGCGGTTCCTCTGACGCACACGCGGCTGTGAGGTGCTACGCCGCGAGACACTTGGCTGCGTCAGTCTAAACCCAGCTTTCGTTGCAGTTTGTCCAAAATGTTGCTGTCCTTTCAGCCATGTATCTACCCGTTCTGACCGGCTTGGGGCCCTTGCTCTGTGTTGTGCAATCGCTGCTACTACTACTTCTGTATGTTCCTGGCGTTGCTCTTTACACAGAACAAGCGGACTACTCGGTGACCGCGACCAAGTATGACACGCGAGCTTATGATGCAAGCAATGACTTCGCGGGCTGCGGCACCGACGGGTGCAGTCCGGACTTGATGAACGTGAGCGCCTCATCGAACCCGGTCCTACGGGTTTGCTGGTTATTACTAATGCTAATGCTAATGGTGATGTACTGGCGATCAGTCTTGGATGGCAATGAATGGTGTTGGTGCTGGTAATCAACACAGAATGGTTATGGTGATGGTATTGGTGGTCAATCCTGAAATGGGTACAGTGGGGATGGCGACGTTGATGGCACTATAAGTGATCAATCCTGAATGGTGAGGGTAGTGAAAAATGGTGTTGGTGATGAATCCTCAATGGTAATCAACCCTGCATGGTGAGGGTATTGGTGATTAATTCCCACTGGATGGCTGAAAGAAGGCCGTCCATGTGGACCGTACGGCGCCATCGAATTTCGGTCCTCACAGCTGTTGTTGTTGGTGACGTCACTTTTGCACCGTGTGGATGTCTTGTGTGCTCAGTAGTGTCTCCACGACCCCCGTGCAAAGCGAGTTTTGTGGATGGGACAGCCCAGCGGTCAGACAAGCACGATCCGTTTCCCAAGTACCAACGCACACCATTTACCACGTGTGCAAATTCCGAACAAAAGTTGTGTCATTTTTCGACATGATTGTCTACACCTCACCCGACCGGCGGCGGTGGGTGGGGTTGTCCAACTTACGGTCGTCGCGGAATGACACACGATTATGTTAGCTCTCTTCGTCGTCGGCAGTGTCGCTGCCATGACAAGGGCGGCGTACCGTTCCCGGATTTCATCAGTCGACTATTTTCGAACAGGTGTCATCTACAATCGGTAGTACTGCTGTAGGCCGATAGGATGTTTCTAGCATCGACCAAGGCTGGCCCGTTGTTGACTGACACATGAACTTAGTTTATTTCTCGTTCACTCGCGACGTTTCCGTACGCTTCCGACACGGGCGGCAGGATGGAAATCTGAACGACGTACCAGACTCGCGGTGGTCATGCGAGACGGCCCTGGAGGGAACAGAGTTCGAGTGCTACGCGACCTTCGATCTCGGCTCGTCGCAGAGCCTCATCAAGCTTACCATATGTGAGGAGGAGGATATCAGAGCATATCCGCCACTATTTACTGCCGCCGCCGCCGTCGTGCGGCCAGGCCTGAATTCTGTGCCTCCTCTCAAGTGCCGTGTTTTTGCTGCGGTGGTTCGGTTGGTCCGTGGTGCCTTTGAATGCCGTTGTTTCCGCCGCACTAGGCACTAGATCGGAGAAGACCACCACTTACAGCGCCGTTTCGTGTGGGTGCGTTTGGAACGCGGAGAGCGAGAGGAATTTGAAAGCTTGAAAAATTTGGCTCCTTCGGCAAGAAGATGTTTCTCTGTCGGTGTACAGTATAGCACACGTGTACGAGTTATGGCAGCTTTGCCGAGTTTGCATATAACCACCTGGTGGCTCTCTCTTTCTCTCTCTTTCTCTCTCTCTCTCTCTCTCTCTCTCTCTCTCTCTCTCTCTCTCTTTCTCTTTTTCTTTGTTGTTGAGCCTCAAGTTTCGAGTGGTCGGATAGTTCGTGTTTCGTAAAAGCTCTACCCCACGGGAAACCTCGTCAGCGACCCGTGGCACCACATGTGAGGGGGAAAGCCTTCGGGGTGCAGCCATCGCAGTCTCCGGCAGTCACCTCTAAACACGACATTAGTTTGAAGTCATTCAAAGATTCAAGGCTTGTTCGTCCGCACACAAACACCACGAGAAATTGGGCGCAAGAATTGCCTAAGCCCGCCGGCCTCGGCCGCCCCACATGCGGTTTGCGGTAGTGCAAGCCATCTTTAAGCGGCGCGACTTCTGTACCTCATCGATGATGGTGAGCGCTGAGGGCATGCTGCTCTCCGAGCCAAGCGCTTGCTTCTTCGCTCTGTTTGATGCCATGCGTGGCTTTTATGTGCCTACATTACCGTAAGGGGCGGAGGTATGGCACCCGACCAAGTGGGTGCAGCAAGAGGGTCCGATACGTCTGCGGAAAGCCCTCGCCGAGATGTTTCCACAACCGCCATTCTTGGTATTGGCACAGCAGTAAATTCTTGATTGTGGAGCAACCTAGCTTTGAAAATCGTTCTGGGGGGGGCTGTCACATCTCCTACTCTTTTTTCGGTAGTGCGTACAAGTAGTAGGCGAGACGGGGGGGGTAGACTAGTGCCATCTCTCCGCCTCCTACGGCAGTGCATAGGCGAGAGAGAGAGGCGCCGAGCGTGCACCTTCTTTGGTCCCGCTCGGCCTTCCGTCGTTCGTGGATGATACAACAGAGTAGGTTTGCCCCGACGGTTGTTGTTTTTGACTGATGCTACTGTAGGGTGTGCAACTCCTGGAGTGAAATCTTACTTGAACACTTGCGGAGAAAACGTGAAGTCCGTTGTCGGTGATTTCATAGCGAAATAGGACGCCTCCCACAGGCTTACGTAGAGTGGAAGATGAGGCGGCTCGCGGCCGAGGAGCTAGGCGCCAAAGGAACGGACCAAGAAGCTGCTGTTTGTCACCAATTAAGACGAGGCATGTTTGACAAACTGATACCCCCCCCCCCCCCGCCCGTCTGCCCCGCGCACCGTTTTTTTCGGAGAAAGACTTCTATAAGAGCAACGAAGAGGACAGAGTTACGAACCCCTTCGTCGTGTCCACTTCCACCGACGGCACCACCTTCACCACCTCCTTCGAGGACATCAACACCATACCGACCCCGCTCGGAGAGGGCGAGGACTTCGCCTTCCCCACGGGCTCCAGCGGGCGGTACGTGCGGTTCACGGGCGACCTCGCGGACGACCAATGGCTGAGCGTCAACGAGGTAATTGGTCTGTTATTGCACCTCTTTGGTGTTGCGCGTTTCGTGGTGGGAACGGTTGGCTTGGTGGTGGCGGCGGCGGCGGCGGCCGGGGGAGGGGGGCCGAGAGATGCAGGCCGTAGCCGCCGCGCCCCCACGGGCGGTGCCCCAGGCTCCAGTTGTTGTCCTCTTGTGGTTGATGCCTCGGTTGCCGTTTATATGGGCGCGAGGTGTCTCGTGGCAATTGAGGACGAAACGGTGGCCTAAATCCTCCCAAAAATGTTTTGGTACGGTAGTGCGGGTAGTTTGTTTGCTCCACCTTTTACTCTTGTTGAATCCTTCACGCTGACTCGGGTTGGAATGAACCAAGCTAAATAGCATACTCTCTCAATTCTGTTGGGTGAGACGCGAAAATTATAGGGCGATCACGCCACTGGGACTGACGTATGTGTATTCATTGGTCAGCCGGTTAAGCGTGGTCGATGCTAACATTGTAAGAAACAGGCACACACCCTTTCCCTCCTTCCCGCGCACCTTGCCGACATCCCCTCCCTACCTGTTGCAGGTTGAAATATATGTGGACGTCGCCACGCCTGCCCCTGTGGCGCCGGAGACACCTGCCCCCATCCCCCCACCAACCCCCGTGCCTACGGTAACAGCTACAGCTGCTCCCATCCCCCTCAACCTCTAGTTCCGCCGCAACAAGGGCCATTGCGACAAAAAACCACGCCCCCCCCCCCCCCTATTCTTTCGCGGGCGTCGTCCCCCCTCCGCCCCGAGTAGTCCCCTCCCTCCCCGTACCGTGGCTTTCACGGATCCCGGTTCGAACCCCTTTATCGCCGACCCGACCCGTACCGTATTGCGAACCGGAACCGCAAACCAACCGCACAAATCGCTCGACCGCAGTCGCGAACCGAGGTCGTTGGCCCGAATCGAGGCGACTGTACCCCGTACAGCGACATCGAACCCGTGAAACAAGCCGAACCGACGCGTAGCCGCGAACCGAACCACGAACCGAACCGCGAACCGACGCATTCTCCTGATTGGTATCCGGCCGGCCTTTTTCTGTCTTGTGTTCTTGGGTTGCTGCTCCGCGCGGCTACACAACCCTCACGCATGTCGTTAGGGATGGCGGGTTCGGGAATGCCACAAGCGTTTTGGGCCATGACGAATGTTTTAACTGCCTCTCCTCCCTGTCTTGCGTGTTTCGTCGTGGATGTTGGGTAGTGCGGAGTTAATCGCATTTATTTTGTGCATTCGAAGGGTTTGCGTGTGTTGTTGGTTGTTATCGTCGCAGTCGTCTTCGTGGTTTGCATGTGGTTGCGGTAAGTAGTGGTAGCAGTCGTCTGTTGATAATGGTGTGTTGACATCTCCCACTGCTGTCAATGTCACGCCCCCCATCACGAGGGTATTTCTTGTGCTCTGTTTTTTTTACTCGCCTGTCCTCTCTGTTTGTGTGGCGTGGCCGTCCATCCTTCCCCACGCAACGAACAGGTCGAGGTGACCGTCAATGTACCGACGCCCTCCCCCGTTGCGGTGGCCACACCCTCCGCCGTTGCAGTGAACACCGTCGCCCCCTCCGCCACTGGAAGGGACATCACCACTACTATGGCTCCT